CCGTTCAGGAAGACTTACTACAGCGAACTATAGGAGATAAGTTAGGGATATTATTGATAAATTTTAACTTGGGATAAGAACTATTGATGTATTTACCTATTTAGCCGATGAAGTAGGAGATGTAGAAAATGTTGATTTATCTAAGAGGGATGCATATAACTACATTCAAAAAGAGAAAAGAGAGAAGATTGAGAATGGGGATACCAATTCCCTAATTGAACTATTTAAAAATGACTAGTTAATGACAAAATGTTTGCATGGGACGTCCAAACTGATGAGGACAATATATTGTTGAATTTATTTTTTGGTTGATGGGTAGGGGAGAATAGATTATGACTGCTTTGAAGATGTGATAATTTTTTTATACTAGCTATAGGCTTAACAAATATAGTTTAGCTTGTGCACCCTTTATTGGAGTTAATAATCATTGGTATAATGTTATGTTAAGGGTGACATTTTTATCGGAGGAGACAATTAAATCATTTGATTGGTATTAACGACAGCCTTCCGATGACCCGGTTAGGAGAGTAGAGGTATTAGATTTGACTTATGTTAAGAAAGGTAGGGGTAGACCTAAAAAGACTTGGTTAGAAAATATTAGGAATGACCTTTCTTTATTAGATTTAAACGAGAATTTGACTTTTAATAGGACACAATGGAGAAAAAAGATTCATGTAGCTGACCCAACGTAGTGGGATAAAGGCTTGTTGTTGTTATTGTTGTAGACAATTAAATCATTTACTTGGTTATTTATAACTTTTTTACGAATAATGGTTGATAAACATCCCATAACAATATTTATTGATCAAGACCAAAACAATAGCCAGGGCTATAGAAATTACATTACCTCGCACATGCTATAGGCTATGCCAATGGCGCATCAACAAGAAGGCTCCGCCTAAGGTGTGGTGCTTCAATAACAACAACAAAGTCATAGGCTATTTTTATAGGTGTTTAAGCAAGTGTGATTCTGGGGAGGAGTTCAAGAGAAACTGAGCTAAAATGATCACCGAAGGGGACTTCCACAACCATGATTGGTTGAAGGAGCTTTATAGAATCATGAACAAGTGGTCAATAACATTCAACAAAAATTATTTTAACTTTGGTCTACTTTCAACATAGCGTAGTGAGTCCACTAACAATGTGTGTCATGACATTTCGAAGCCAACTAGTTCTATAACTGATTATTTTTTGGGCTTAAAGAAGATGATGATGACTTGGCATTGGAACTAACATAATGAGCAATTTAGATGTAGCTAGTTTGAGATAGTACCTTTAATAAAAAGTTGCCCAATACTAAAGCAGACTGTCCGATTTTATTCAAGAAAATTGTATACATTTTTTGAAGGAGAGTTTTTATAGGGTGTAGATTGAATGTGTATAGATCACGCGTCAAGTGACTCATTAACATTTTTTGTCAGAAGCATCGAGAAGATTGATCAATCGAAGGGTTGGACTGTTCATTTTGATGGAAAAGAGGATACCATTCAATGTAGCTGTGAGAAGTTCGATATGATGGGTTTATTATGTTCTCACTGCGTCAGAGTTATAAGGCAGTTAGATATAGTTAATATTTCTTCGAAGTATCTACTAATGAGATGGTCAGTTAGAGTTAGGAAAGATGTTTATGCTGGCCGGACGTTCACAGGTATGAGAAAGAGAAGGCCATCCCATATCTAGAGGGATGTAGTGATATGATATTTAGAAATCATCTTAGCAGATTTGCATATCAAATTAGCACACGAGCATAGAGGAATGAGTTAGCAGAATAGTATATGTTGGTTGTAATGACTGACATGGCTGAAAATGTCGACTTGATCCTGGATGGAAAAAAAAGAACCACAACTTTGTTGGAAACACAGTAGGTGGTGAGTTTAAAAGATTGAAAGACTCATTGAAGTGCAAACTTAAAGGCATCTCTAATGCAAGATTGAATAGTCATTGGGAGAGGGGAAAATGTAAGATAATTAAACCTGTAAATTTGGCCACTCCTATGACAAAACAATGTACAACTGGAGAACTAGTCAGTCAGTTGAAGTTCACAAACATACCATAATGTTTTAAAGATGAGTACATTCTTCGTCGATCAACAAGCTAGGCAATAACTAAATATATAAGAATGATGATGGGAATAATTTATTCAGGGAAACAAGGATGATGTGTAATTTTTTCCAATTTGAAATTGCAATTTGCAGTATAAAAATTCATTCTTTATTTCAAAAAATTATTATAAAATTATATCGTGTCTCGTAATATTCATTGTAAAATTTCATTCTTTACTACTGTGACCTTTGCAAAGTAACGCTGAGTACTCCTAACTACCGATGATTTTTTTTGTGCTACATTCCGCTATTTATGATGGGTAGTTATGGCAATTTAGCTATTTTAAGAAGGTTTGTTATAACATTTATGGTGGTTGGTTGTATCTTTTAAGCTATTTATAGATGGTAGTTGAAGCATTTGTGCTATTTAAGGTGATTGACTTGTTATCTCCAGCAGTTGTGTACTTATGGAAAAATTTTGATTATGCTCTATCGATTTTAATTGCAGTGCTTAGACTAAAGGCATTTGCTCTTCCAAATACGAATGACATTTGCACTTCCAAGGCCCATAAAGGCATTTGCTCTTCCTAGGCTGACAGACATTCCCTCCTCTGAAATCCGAGAGGGTTACAATACAACCCTTCGGAAATTGACAGATTATTACAGGAGTGGCAATCCTGTCAGAGTTCAAAGGATGGAATGCATGTTGGCCTTGGAAGCGCAAATGTCTTTATGAGCCTTAGAAGGAAAATGCCTTTTGTCTCTGTGTATTGTCTCTGTGTTCCGTTAAATGCTGTGTAGTTATTAAGCTGGGTTGTTGCAATATTTATGGAGGTGGTTGTATCTTTACTGATCTTTAAGATGGGAGCCAGTAGGGGCCAGTGGGGGCTGGGGGGCCTTTGGTGGCTAGGGGACCTGTGGGGGTTGGGGACAGTGGTTGGCATGGGAGTTCAACTTGGAGGAATAAGTGAGGTGAAATTGAAGTTTTCTAAGTATACAGAAGGGGAGAATTCTCTAATAATGTTCTCTCCTCTCGTGTGACTCTTTGGAAAGTATGAAATATCTGCACAATAAGAAGAAAGGATGAGCTCACAGCAAAATTAATTTCCCTACAACATGAAGTGGAAAGAATAATTAGTACCTGGCATCCTCAAAATCAGCAAATAAATGGTTGAACTTTATGTCGATGTACATTATATCACTATCCCAACTAACAAAATGAGGTCGAGACTTGTTATCCACTAGTTCTTGGATTGAGATATGCTCTAGAAACCAAATCTATATTTAATCCACAGAAGTTGTTAGCCAATTAAATTAATTCCCAATATGCACAGAGGTTCTAAAGTGTTGGACGCACTTACAATTACATGTACAAAACCATTCATATATCCCAGGGGTCTGCTTTTGTCAAACTTCCTCACAATAGCATCGAACTCGGCCACTAGGAAATATCTAATGGATGCTAGCCAATTGTAAGTTAAAAACAAATCTACATGATGAGCAACAGTTAGGATTCTAGCAGGGGTTCAAAATTACGTAGCGGAAAGAATAAGTTGGACAATAAGAAAATGATAAATTTCTTCACAAGATCGTTAAGTGGAGTAGATTCGTCCAGGCTGAGGATCTCATGTTTAATATCATTGATGGATTTCCCAATTATTTGGGCACTTCCCAACTCAAATTTAGTTCCTTTATTGGGTAGTACAAGTATCAGAGCAACTTCATCAGCAGTGAATTATAAATTCCGACCCATGATTATGAAACACTACTTCCAGAGAGCCCACTTTGACAATAACTTGTGCACTAAGGGGACATTCTGTCGGAAGGGAGGCATTAACAAATATTGATCAATGTGCAGTTGCCTCAGTCTTTCCACAAATTCTTGGTCGAATGTATCAACCAAGTGATTACAAAGTTATCTAAATGTTAAAGTTCTGTTATGGAAAGTAATCTTTGAAACATATCCCTGCATTAATAAGCTGTCCCAATAGAAGCCTAAATTTGTTTGTGGGCTTGTTGTATAATTGAAGGTTCGATGATGTCTGAAAATGTTGGGTTGATGTGATTGACAGAGAAAGATTAAGAAGGAAAACTTTTATGATAAGGTGGATGTATTTTTACGATAAGATCTGGACAAAAATTAGGTTAATCAACAGAGACAACTTATGAAATACTTAATTGGAATGTATGAAGAATTATCAATTATAAAACTTACCCCAAGTAGATGGGATAAACCTAATTTGTTGATAATTAATTAGATGAGTAATGTATGATGAATTTAGTATGCAAGTCCATTTATTTCTCGTATGAAGTATCCGCTACTTGTTGCAATTTGTTTATTAATTCCATTTATTTTTTCTTCGTTCTCTTTTTGAACCATAAAATTAGCCCGTGTTTGTTGGAAGGAAAATTGATTGAAATGAAATGAAATTCAGGTAAACAGTGACTTGATTATGCTTTATTTTCCATTGATTTGTTATATTCTCTTTCCTTTCTTCCTTTTGCTTTCTTGACTTACTGTCACGTGAGCAAGAACCTATATTTTAGGTCAAAGAAACTTATTGTGGCTTTTTTTGAAAATTTCTCTTATTTTAAAACAAAACTGAGAGGCTGCCATTGCCAAACAAGTCCGTAAGTTAAGCCAATGGGCCAAAACGGAATTCTTTTCTTAATGGGTATTTTCAATGGAAAAACATCAAACATGATATGTTCCCTGAATTTTCTTGACACTTGACATGAGTTTTGCTTGTAAAACAGAAATTTTGCCTGTAAGAAGTATAATGAGCCATGAGTTGTATTTTTTGGCACATATTTGATTTTTTTTTTTTTTTGTTCTGCAAGCTTTGATATGAAATATAACTGAATTATGAGAAACTGTTTGTTAAGGAGAGTTCTTTATAATATCCTTTAAAGAAAAAAGACACTGGAACTGACTCGTTTCTCCATGTTTTCGTACAGAAATATGATGCAAGCGTTCAGAAGTCTTCAATATAAGATCTGATTACAAGCCTTTATATCACAGTTGCACTCTTAGCTCAAAACAAAGCCTTTAGTATGATAAATACCAAATCAACTGTCGTAGATGTGATGCAGCTTAGCTTATACATTTGAAAATTCTCTTCTGAATCTGCACTTTTGTTATTGGCTAGTGCTTGAATGAAGTATATGGCTTCACTGAATGCAAAGCTTATGATATAAGATATGCTTCCATTTTGTTCCTCAATTTTGATGATCTAACAACTGAAATTGTTCTTATTTTCTTCAATCTGTAAGGCAATATCAACTTTACAACGATGATATTCTTCATGCTACCTAAATAACATCAGAAAAATTACAAAAAGGGGCTTTTGGTTGTCACGTTTCCTTAAGATTTTAAGGAAATTTTGGCTAATTCAGCTATTGCGTGGACTTCTCTTCTAGATTGGATTTGGTGGTACCGCTGTTAAGAAAGATCATTTTTTATGCTGTTTGGCTCAATAATTTGTTCAAATTTTATTTATTTTTAGAAGTTCGGTTACCTAATAAGTCAAATATGAACAGTATTGCACTAATGTGTTATGCTCAATAATACCTCATTAATATATATATATATATATAGTCTATAGAAAAGTTTCATGCTCGTTAACAACTCGTGTATGGCCCCATAAGTAAACTAGTTGAATACAAATAGAAAAATTTGGCTCATTTATTTAACAATTCAAGCCAAATAATAATGATGTTTGTTGACCCGAAATGAAATAAAAAAAAAAAGAGAGAGGATCACACGTACCTCTCGGCCATGTCGCTCGAGCTCCACGCCCACGATCTCCTCCCACGTCTCGCACGATGTCGCCCGACACTTCTCTGCAGCGTTAAATGTCGGAGAAAATGAGAGAGCTCAGCTCTCTGACTGGCTCTCACTCTCCCTTCCTCTCTCTCTCTCTCTCTCTCTCTCTCTCTCGCTGCTTCTCTGAATCCTTCGCTGTTGTGCGACTCCCCTCCTACGACATTCCATTCCTGTTGGGATCGGAAGTTACGGCATCCAAATCGGAAGCAACAACGAGAGATCGCCGGCTTTGAAGACCCCCTTTCTCCCTCCCGAGTGCTTCTTCGGCTCCTTCCTGGTTGTCCGACTCCGCTCCTTTGGCGACATTCCTAACGGATCGGAAGTTACTACATTTTGATCGGACGGAGCAACGGGAGCTCTCTCCTTCGGCGCCCCCCATTGCTGTTCGACTTCGTTGCTTCGACGACTTTCCCTACCTGTCGGGACGGAAGTTACGGCATTCTGATCGGAAGCAAAGAACAAGAGCTCCACTAGCTGTGAAGGTAACTTTCTCCCTGCTTGCGCGCTTATTCCTCATTCTCGTCGTTTGCGGCGGACCGACAAACCCCCTATACGCGCTCTTGTAGCACGGTGGGAGGGAGCCCGGTGCGAAGCATACGACGAGGCGGGTAAGCCCTATACACGCTCTTGTAGCGTGGTGGGGACGGTCCTCGACACCAACACCGACACCGCCGACACAGCTACGAGAGGTATGATGTTCCAAAATCCCATTCTCGACGTTTGCAGCGGACCGGAGAACCACCTATACGCGCTCTTGTAGCACGGTAGGAGGGAGCCCGGTGCGATGCATACGACGAGGTGGGAGAGCCCTATACACGCTCTTGTAGCGTGGTGGGGAGTCACTGCTGTTCTGGTACGTCACTGCTGTTCTGGTACGGGTACTGCTGAAGGCCCCATACACGCTCTTGTAGCGTGGTGGGATGAAATTTTGTACGGCCGCGGTGTCTAAGGACACCTACCATACACGCTCTAGTAGCGTGGTGGGAAGGCCCAGCTCCTCTATTTTCCCCCAAACGGGGGATATGCCGGGGTGCTGCCGAAATTTTCACTGAAATGTACAAAGAGTTGAACAAATTGAAGACCTTCTTGGGCAACATTACAAAAGACTTGTACCTGAACAAAATTTAAATGATTTCTAAAGGTCAAAATCAAATGAAATAAACTCAAACTTGAACCCAAATAGAATTGAAATTTGAGTATGCACTTGAACTTGAATTTGCAAGACAAGCAAGGACACGAGCTGAACATTTGAACTTGAAGACTCGGACATCAGGGGACCCGAACATAGAACTCAAACTCAAATGAACTCTAACATGAATTGAATAAGATCACTCAAGCTCACTACTTGAACTCAAGCAAGAACAATATGTGGAGAGCAAAGCACTCAAATTGAACTCAAGATTGGATCCAAACTTGTCATGAGCAATAAAGAACTTGAACTTTCAAGAACAACACACAAGATCTCAATGCTTACAAATAAAGAATGTAGTAGACTCTTACAACAGTCTCTACGAAATTGGGTGCATCGTACCTGCAAGAATGAAATGCACGAGTGTCCCTCTTACATGCATTATTGGAAACTCCAACATAAGTATCAATGCCTATTGATTGAGAAGGTAGCACTACTACTAGATAGTCAAAAACCCATCCTCTATAAACAAATCCAGACATCAAACCCACCTGAGATTAGTGAAAGGTGGATGTGATGCAATAAACGAGGGTCTCCTATAAATATTCCTAGGAGTTCGTAGCAAACACTACGGATCCTTACAAACAAATACGAGCCACTTGTGGATAACAACAGTGTGTGTTGTGAGTACAATGAACCACTGTGGACACAAGTACATATATCACCTACGATAGTGGTGATCCAAGTGCTGTCAGTGTACCAGGTATAAAGGCAACCCGATGTACGAAAAAAGGACACCCCTGGCAAAGGGGAGGAAATGTTTGAACAAATTAGAACCAAACTTCCTGGTGTTCCAAAGTTTCTCCCTTATCCCATTCTTAGGGAGAAAACAGCTCTGGTATCCAAAAACACCGAAAATAACAGGTCTGCTACACTGAAGATCCTAAAAGGAGTTCTCCCCAAATCAATAGTCATTGACTCCAAAGTTCAGAAAGTCCCTTCCCCCGGTGAATGAGAAAGGGGGAGTCAACATCAAGACCAAGTCGCCACCGGATCTGCAACATCTATGAAAGCAGACAAAAGGCGACCACAATCTATAATGCAACGCCAACAGATCTGCAACACATATACAAGCAGACAGAAGGCGACTACGATCTACAACGCAACGCCACCGGATCTGCAACACTCATGCAAGCAGACAGAAGGCGTCTACAACATTCATATTCGGCCTTTAAGGCCCTCAACGAAGAAAATTCATGAACAAAGGCATGAAGCCTATGAGAAGCCAGATCTTCCTAAGCAAGAAAATAGGAGTAGACAGGGTTCGAATCATTGGATAAATATGCAGTCACGAAGTCGACTGGAATATTTATTTTAATGCATTCATATTCGGCCTTCAAGGCCTAAAATCAAGAAAATTCATAAACAAGGGCAGAAAGCCTACAAGAAACCCGATCTTCGATCAACAACTTTGTCGAGTTGACAAGGTTCAATCAAATAGAAATGACCCCGAACACCCCGATGATGGCCGCGTTGAATGCTAATCTCAACCGGAGGAGTTCACACATATCTTCAAATGACTCCCAAATACTCCAAAAATCCAAAATCAATTCCAAAATTTCCAGATATTTAAAAATGAAACTATCCATCCCAAAACTCAAAAGCAAATCCATCCACCCTCCGCAACAGTTTGCTAGGGTGGACAAATTCAAATAAACTCTAGCTCACAAAGAATCAAATGCCTAGTCAAAAATATAACTAGGATCCATTCTCAAACAATCTCCTGCCAATAAGGACGTGGTACGTGTCCTCTAACCGGCGGTTGACCGCCAAATGGCATCGCAGGATAAACGGCTATGACCCGGGGCCCTCTGAACCGAGTGGTTTTGCCGCCAAATGGCACCACAAAATACCGGTTATGGCCAACGCCGTTACGTTCCTTATTGGCATCAAATCCTTGAGATATGAATCAATAGGATATGATCGATAGGGCACAAAGCCCTCTGTTAGCTAAGGTGGATTCAAATTTGTCCCCTTAGATAAACATCCAACCCCGATCTACAAGGTCCCCTTGAACGAAGCAACCCATGGCTGCCGATAAGGATCCTTCTGTGAGGTTGGGTCGACTACCTCCTCTGACTAAGTAGATCCGGGACCACGATGGCCCGGGATGACGAAACCATGGGATCTTGATCGGGCCCATCATCCATTCCCCCACCATCCGCTTTAAGTGCAGGATGATGAAATTTCTACTTTAAATATCAAACTCTCCAAATTCTCAAATTTAAATCCAGTTCTCAAGTACCCAAATCATAACCCAATTTCCAAATCCAATTTCTATCAGTATCTAATCCAGTGCTGCTACTATATGCCAGATAACACGTATATTCTACGTATTTGATCGACGACTAGCCTTAATCGAAAGTTCTCTCTCGTGATCGGGAGGGGTAATTAACTATAGGGGCTTGCGCCTATAGGAAACCAGAACTCAGATCATAAAGTCCTCACAAAATGAGGGCGAAATCTCTGGGTAGTGTCTTATCTACAAACCCATCTGCCTTCCAAAATTTACCCCGAAACTAATCCGTTAAAACTCCCTCACCAAAAAAATAAAAAGAAATCGCGCGGCGGGGAGGCCGGAAGTGCTGTCCATAGCCAGTGATGCATTTCCTCAATTGAGTTGTTCTTTCTAGCTCCTCCATTCTGGAAGTGGCTGAACAAGCAAAACTTGTGCTTTTAGCTAATCTTCTTTGGATTGATGAAATTCAGCTCAGGGCAACTCCCGAAAAAATTATCTTCCCTGTCACTCGAGGCTAAGAGGATGGCACTATTGATGGAAGAACTTATGTGCTGCTGCTGTTGCCCGTCTCCTACAGTGTCCCATGCGATCATGCATTGTTTGATAGCATAAAACAGATGTGAGCAGTCTAGCTCTTTTGCTGCTCTTCTGGAATTTTCCAATATTGATTCTGCTGCTGCATCAGAGGTTCTTCATGCACTGGCTTTGCTTTTCTGGGGCAAATAAAGCTTCTGGCCTTGAAAAAACCTCCATTGGCTGCTCTTGCTGAATATCCTCACACTTCATCCCTTTGGTTTTATGTGCAGCTGATGGAGCGCCCACACTACAAGAAATCTATTGAAGTTTTTGTCTAGGTTATGCCGTGATCAGGCCTGGTATTTTGGGTTCTGTAGTGTCAAAAAAAGCAGCCCACCAAACCAGGATGTGTAGCATCAATTGCTAGACGAGTGATTAGCTCCAGTCACCTTA